TCCCTGCTAACTGCCTAAACGCGTATCAAGTTGTGAAAAAAACACATTATGGCCAGCTAAGGCATGTAAAATACTAGACACAAATATGTAAACCAACAGAGTAACCCTAGTCTTCTGGGTTACATTACAGGCACTCGGACCGTTTCAATAGTAAAATAAAGGTAAATAAGCACAGGTGCATTTACTCTCAGTCTTTAAGTGTATCTACTCTCTATCTCTCTATCTCTCTAGTATCTACTCTCTACAGGTGTATCTACTCTCTATCGCCTAATAATTCCACGTCAATGACGCTTAAACGCCCCTCTACAACACAAAATAACACCGCACGCACGCCATTGTGCACAAACTCACAGGAAGGAAGAAAGAAAGTAGAGAGTGGGTAAACATTAGAACTTTTGTAGTAAATACAATGTGCGTTTATTTACCATCATTTCATTATTGAAACGGCCCAAGCGCCTCTGGGTTACATATTTTTATTGAGCATACTCGTTGCAAAAGTAAAATCAGCTCTTCATCTTATCTATGCATTGTTTGAGTGTGAAATAGTATAAAATGCATAGCAATGCAAGCGTCAGTCATCGCCGTGCAGAATGGAATCAATCACTCCATGGCTAGGTCACTTTCTATACAAGCATGTGACCTAGTCATGAAATGATAGATTCGGTCAAAGCTAGACTAAGTGTCGCAAAATCAACAAATTTTCTCGTGTTTTTTTCGCGTAATTGCAAGCTTGTAGTAGCTTTCGCAGTAATTTCAAGCTGTAGAAAAACTGACGTGGCGCAGTAAACCTCCTCCATGCAGCACGAATCTCTCTACCTCGTATCCAGCAGATGGCAAGTTGCGAACTATAGCAGACAAGGAGGTGTGTCACTTCACGTGTCTATGGTTGGCTGGCTTATGGCGCCATCTTGTAACCGCGCCTCCGCCACTCAGCGACTCTGCGTGACCCCACAAATACCAAAGCTGCACTCGTGTATGTGTGTATATATATATATCGCCATCATGTGACTCAAGAGCGTAAACAACATAATCAGTGATACAATGAGGTAGCCTTAGTAGGCTATACTATGGTTTCTAGAGGCGTGCTGACCAATTAACTCGCCAACATTAGGGCAATTCCACATGAGAGATGCCTAAAACATCATTTTTGAAAGATTGTTTTATTTAAATCAGAATACATTTTCTCAGTAAACAATTATATATCAAATAAAAAACTGAAAACCATTTTGAATTACCATCATTAGTTTTCCTAAAAACTGGATTTG